AGAGGAACATTATTGAATTTTATATGTTAATTTTGTACATTGCTGAATTTGGTTATTAATTCCAGGCATCTTTTGATGGAATTTTTTGAGTCTTCTATGTAGAGGATCATGTTGTCTGCAAATAAGAATAATTTGAGTTCTTCCTTTTCTATACATATCCTTTTTATTTCTTTCTCTTGCCTGATTTTTCTGGCTAATGTTTTGAGTACTACATTGAACAGGAGTGGTAATAGTGGACATTTTTTGTTGTTTCTAATTTTAGAGGGAATGCTTTCACAGTTCCCCCCCCATTCAATATGATATTGGCAGTAGGTATGTCATAAATGGCTTTTATCAAATTGAGATAAAGTTCTTCTATACCTATTTTGGTCAGAGTTTTTATCATGAATGGGGTTTGGATTTTGTCAAAGACTTTTTCTGCATCTATTGAGATGATCATGTGATTTTTGTCCATGTTTCTGTTTATATGATGTATTGCATTTATTGATTTGTGTATGTTGACCCATCCTTGCATTCCTGGTATGAGGCCTACTTGGTTGTGATGTATGATCTTTTTGATAATTTGCTGCATTCTGTTCGCCAATATCTTGTTGTGGATTCCTGAATTTATGTTCATTAAAGAGACTGGCCTGTAGTTCTCCTTTTTGGTTGGCTCCCTGTCTGACCTTGAAATCAGGGTGATAGCTTCCAGGAATGACTTTGAGATTACTCCTTACTTTTCAATTTCATTAAAGAGTTTGAAGAGTATTGATATCAGATCATCGGTAGATCTTGGAGAATTCAGCAGTGAATTCAACTGGACCTGGGCTTTTCTTAGTTGGTAGTGTCTTTATTACTACTTTAATTTAATGATATAGGATTATTCAGAATTTTTAAATATTCTTGTTTCAGCTTTGGTTCATATGTATTGAGGAATCTATTCATTTCTTTTGAATTCTCCAATTTATTAGAGTACAGTTTTCCAAAGCAGTTGCTAATAATCTTTTGGATTTCAGTAGTGTCCATTGCGACTTACCTTTTTCATTTCTAATTGCACTGATTTGTGTCTTTCCTTTTTTGGGTAAGATTGGCTACAGGTTTGTCTATTTTTTTTTTTTATTCTTTCAAAGAACCAATTCTTTGATTCACTAATTCTTTGTATTTTTTTAGTCTGCATTTCATTGATTTCTGCTCTGATCTTTATAATTTCCTTATTCTTACTAACCTTGGGTTTTGATTCTTCTTATTTTTCTCGATTAGGTTATTTGGGCTTTCTCTGTTTTTCTGATGTGGGCATTCACAGCTACAAATTCCCTTTTAGGACTGCTTCTGTCATATCTCATAAGTGCTGGTATGTTGTCTGGCACTATCTTTTGACTTTAAGAACTGTCTAATTTCTTCCTTGATTTCTTCTGTGACCCGTTGATTATTCAAGAGTAACATTATTTAATTTCTACATGTTTGCATAATTTCTGTGGTTTCTTTTGCCATTTATTTCTAGTTTCATTGTGCTATGATCTGATAATAGGCATGAGATAATTTCAATTCTTTTGCATTTATGTAAGCATGATTTATTGGCTAGTATGTGGTATATTTTGGAAAAAGCTCCATGAGCTGCTAAGAAGAATGTGTGTTATATTGTTGGGTGGAACATTCTGTAGCTCTAAAGTCCATTTATTTGAAGGCTTGGTTCAACTCTGATATTTCTTTGTTCATTTTTCTGTCTAGGTGATTCATCTATTTGTGACAGTGGGGTATTGAGATTCCCCACTATAATTTTGTTGATGTTTATCTGATCTTTATGTCCAGCAGTGTTTGTTTTATGGAGTTGAGGTGCGCTGGTGTTCAGTGTATATATGTTTACAATTGTTATCTCCTCTGTTGAACTGTTCCTTTAACCAATATGTAATGACTTCTTTGCCTCTTCTGATCAGTTTTCACTTGAAGCCCACTTTGAAAATAAGATAGCTACTCCTGCTCATTTCTGAATTTCCATTATGTGGCATAATGTTCTCTATCCTTTGATTTTTAGTCTATGAATTTCTTCTTGGGTTAAATGTGGTTTTTGTATACTGCCTTTTGGGTTTTGTTTTTCTTTTTTCTTTTTTTCTTTTTTTTTTGGTACCGGGGATCGAACTTGGGTCCTTGTGCTTGCAAGGCAGGTGACGGAACCACTGGGCTAAATCCCCAGCCCTGGGTTTTGCTTTTCAATCCATTCTGGCAAAGTATGTCTTTTGACTGGGGAGTTGAGGCCATTCACACTGAGAGTTATTACTGAAAGATATTGACTTATTCCTGTCATTGCATTAGTTTCCTTTTTCCTTTTGCTGATTCCCTCCTCCCCACCTTCTACACAACAGCTCGCCTTGATGGATGTATTTAATCTATTAGACCTTTTGGCTTTGTTAGCTTCATTGTTTCTTTCTAGGGTATTTTTAAGAAATTTAAGTGCTGGATTGGTAGTCATGAATTTCTTAAGGTACTCACTCTTTGTCATGGAAATACCTTCTTTATCCATCAGTTTTGAAAGACAGTTTTGCAAGATATATCAGTTTGGGTTGGAAATTGTTTTCTTTTAGGGCCTGAAACACTTCACTCCAAGCTCTTCTGGCCTTTAAGGTTTGTGTTGAGAAATTTGCTGTAGCTCTAACGGGTTTAGCTCTCTATGTGATTCATTGCTTTTCTCTAACAGCTTTTAAGATTTGACCCTTGTTTTGGACTTCTGAAATTTTGACTATGATGTGTTGTGGAGTTTCTTTTCTGATCATGGCAATTTGGCCTTCTATATGCCTCACTTATCTGTATGTTGAATTCTTTCCCCATATTTAGAAAGTTTTCTGCTATTATTTCAGTAAACAGGGGTTTTATGCCATTTGTGCTGTCTTCTGGTTTTTCACTAATTCTAATTAATCTTAGCAGCTTTTGGATCCATTTTTTTCTTGTTCTCTTGTGGTTTTTAAGATATCTCTGAATAAGTGGTCTCTAACAGCAGTCTTCTAGCTGTGACACTCTGTCCTCTATTGGTCATTTCTGCTGCTCATACTTTTAAAAGAATTTTAAATTTTTCTTTATATCTTTTTATGGCCTCTAATTCTTTGCTATACTGGTCATTAAGTTTTTTATCATTTTGTTTAGCTCAGCTAGGTTTTTATTAATGTCTTCTGTAAACTTGGTAATTGTTTTATTAAATCCATTATCTGTTTAGTTTTATCTTCTCTGAGCACACTGAGTATCTTATTGATCTACTTTTTATCTTCTTGATCTATTTTTAATCTCCTCTTATCTTTTCAAACAATTTGGCTGTGTGACTTTTCATTCTCTCTCCCTCCATCCCTCATGGATCAGCTTTGGGGGAGTAGGAAGTTTTGGGGAGCATTTTGTTGCCTTGTCTTCTTGTATTGTGTGTGTGTGTGTGTGTGTGTGTGTGTGTGTGCATGTGTGTGCATGCTTTACAGGTTGATTATGGTGGGAGACTTTGTTGCTAGTATGGAGGCCTCTTTACTTAGTGTCTGCTTTTCAGTGATGCACTCTGGGCATTGCTATCTATAGGCCTTTGTTTCTATCCCCAAATCCAGCCACCTCTGTTTATTTAGGAAGGGAAGATGCAATGTATTTGGTCCAGCACCCAGCTCTTTGGGAATTGGCAGCAATGTTGTTAATGACACAGAGACAATCCAGACACTGGAATAAAGAGAAGAACTATTAAGAGCAACAACTATGCTGCTGTGCAATAGCAATAAAATCAACAACAATAATAGCATCAAAGACAAGCTGGATATTGACATAATCTAAGAACATCTATAATTATAGTATAAACACTAAGGCAAATCAAATACTGACCTACAGGAACTATCTGCTAAGTACAACAACTATACTTCCACTAACAATAGGTCAGTATTCAATGGTAACAGTACAGAATTAACTTTCTAGCTGAGCGTTCATAACACTTAATGGTTATGTTAGTAAGGATAATCAGTGTGGAGAACCAGAAAATGGAAAAAGTAGAATTTGAAAGATTAATCAATGGAAGATGAGGAGAAATGAAAAGTGAGGTAAAGGATATTATTCAGTAAAAGGAAATTAATAGTATTAGGTAAAAGAAACAGAAAAGAACAGCCAAGAAAAAGAGAGCAAAATAAAGGGAAAATGAAAAATAATAAGAAAAGAATGGTTAAAGGAGAAAAGGAAAAAGGAGAAAAAACCCAAACCCTAAAACACCAATGATGAAAAAAGAAAGAAAGAAAAACTGAGTAGTAAAAATTCTTCTGTCTTTTTGAATGAGTGGTTTCTTTCTAAGGATTGGTAGTTCTGGAATCCAGCAAGTCACGATTTTCTTCTCCTAGTTTTAGGGCCTGTGGGTTTGTAAGGTGCCTCACTGCTCTAGAGGCACCTCTGTCCATACACCCTAGACTGTGGCAACCATCAAAGTTGAGGGATGTCCTTGCTCACTTGATGGATGGGGAAAGCAGTCAGACCACTGGTCTCTGCTGGATGCAGGCAGAGGGCTCAAGCAGACTTCTGCACTTGATGCCAGCACTTTTAGATCCAGCCACCTCTGAGAGTCACACTTACTGGATCTAGTCCAGAGGTGGCGAAAAACTATAGCATGTGTGTCACAGCCAGATGCTTGTTATCACTGAAAGTTCTAAAAGGTTTGCCATCTCCGGTCTAGTTTCTCACCATGCTAGTGGCAAGGGAGGCCAGGTAAAGTCATCCGTGCTTCACAGTGGGGACAAGTACAGGAAGAGTCCTCTGTGAGGGTGGTAGCTAGTGCTCTGTAGCTGTTTATCCAGAGAGGAGGTTGGGAAGTAGCAGCAAAGGTGCCCACGGGCAGAATGCGCTGGGCTCAGGAGTCCAATGCCACTGGCTGGCCACCACCTCCACTCTGGGGACTCCTCTCTGGCGTGTGTGTTTTCATGCCGCCAGGCATCAAGGTGCTCCGTTGTTTGTCCTCACTGTCCTGTGGGCTGGGGCTGTTACCCTTCCTAGGTCTCAAGTGGTCTTCTTGTGTCCCTCCCCAGGCGTCCTGGCTGTGGAGAAGGCTGCATGGGAAGAGGTGGACAGTGGTGGCTTTCTGCCTGTTGGTGACCCTGTTGGCGGTGACCATCACTTGCCTCCCCCGACAGCGTCCAGCCACCCACCCGGACCCTGGTTCCTTGGAACCCCAGGGAGACACTGGCACCCTCATGCCCCATGTTTGGCAGGTCCTGAGCTCCAGTCAGAGGCAGCGGATGAGGATGCTGGAGCTCAGGCAAGGCCAGGCTTGGCCTAGGAATCCAACCACTGTTGGTGCTGAGAAACAAGACCACAGGGGGCAAGCGGACAGAAGCAGGCAGCCCCCAGGAAGGGACAGCAAGCATCCAGGTAGAATCAGGAGGGATGTGACTTGGACAGGAGACCGAGGACTCCACACCCAGCGTCTTCTGAGAGAGGAAGAGGTCAGAGACTCAGGAGACAAAGGCCTGGCCCAGCCAGGGCACAAGGCTCCCATGGAGGAGATGCAGAATGACTCAGGCAGCCCAGGCAGCCGGCATGCATGGACCAATGGGGCAGCTGATGCCAGGCCGACCCCCTGGTTCCATCTGGCAGAAGGCAGGGGTCTGCTGGGAGTGGGGGACAGAGTCTTCATGGGTGGGAAGCAAACAGGGGACCCCATGCTGCTGTCAGGGGCCCATCCATGGCCTGGCTCTGTTGGGGACCTGCAGGGGTCCATGTGGTGTGACACTGAGCCGCTGGCTGGCCCAGGGTCTGATGGGCAGAGGCCCCCTTGGCTCACTGAGCATGATGTGCAGACACTGCAGCTGCTGGCCCAGGGTGAGGTGGTGGGCAAAGCCAGCGTCCCTGGTCATGGGCAGGTGCTGCAGGTGGAGCTGTCTGCTGAGGGCACCCACCGGGATGCGGCCCCTCCTAGGCTCAGCCTGCACTGCTCCCAGGGCCTCTGTGGCTTGATCAAGCGGCCCCGGGACCTGCTAGAAGTGCTGTCCTTCCACCTGGATCGTGTGCTGGGACTGTGCCGGAGTTTGCCTGCTGCAGCCCGCCGCTTCCGTAGCCCCCTGCTCCCCTACCGCTACACAGACGGCATTGCCAGGCCTGTCATCTGGTGGGCACCTGATGTGCAGCATCTGGAGGACCCGGAAGAGGACCAGAACTCTCTGGCCTTGGGCTGGCTGCAGTACCAGGCCCTGCTGGCACACGGGTGCAGCAGTGGGCCAGGCCAGGCCCCATGCCTGGGCATCCACCGAATTGAGTGGGCACGCCTGGCGCTCTTTGACTTCCTGCTGCAGGTAAGTGGGCAGGGATCTGGGGGCCTGGACTGTCCACTCAGGGTGGGTCGGCATGCTCCTTGCAGTCCTGGTTCCAAGACCACCAAGCACCTGTTTGTTATTTTTCTGCGTCCGTTCACTTATGCAGTGGAGTTGGAGCCATTTCACATCAACTCACACGAGCCGATGGCTAAGATATCCAGGATGTTGTGGTGCAGCTGTGAGCCCCACCCATTACCAACAAGAAGTTATGCAAGCTAACAAACAATTCTATTAGACAGAGGGGGCAGCCACTTTCTAATGGTTGCACTATGTGTTTGCTGCCAACTGTGCCCACGCAGTGACCTCTCCCTGTGGTATCTTTGCTGTGGCTGCTGTGCGGTGCTATGCCTGGCGCTGCCAACCCCACGCTCTCTCGGTTGATAGGGTTGATAGTGGAAACCTGACAGGGAGCGAAGGCTTATACCATGGAAATCAGAAAATGCTGCAAACCAGGGCTTCCCTCTGCTGCTGCCCATCTCCAGTCCACCACCCTTTATCACTTTATCTCTTTGAGTCACAAGAAATGGAGGTGGCTGTGTAATTTGACGGGGGCCGGGGGAGAAGCGGAGACAGTGAGAAAGGAGGACAGAGGTGGAGGGGTCACCAAGTCCAGCTTGGCCCGAGGTCCTGCCTCCTGCCATGCCGGCTGCTGTTGGAAGAGGCTCCCCTGTCCTTGGGTTCCATCAGGAAGTGGGCAGACCCCCGGGTCCTGACTGGGCTGCCAGGTCCCAGCGTGCTGTGCTGGGTGTGTCCAGGCCCGGTTCCCAAGAGCCTTGAAAAATCCCCAGGCCACATGTACTACTTTGGAGATTGCCCATAAAAATCCCACTTCCTCTGAGATCCTTTGGTGACACCAGGCCTCCATTCCCACAGGGTGGCAATCACCCAAGCTGAAGGGTCTGCCACCCTCTCCTTTGGCCACAGCTGCACCCCCATTGTCCGACAGCCATGGGCTCCTCCTGCTCTGTGATGGACAGGCTCCATGGGTACCTGGGCCTGACTCCTCAGCGGGACCCAAGTCCTGTTACCCGGCATAGCAACCAGCGCTGGCTTCCCTGTCCTGGGGCCCAACTCTGCCTTGTGGGTCTTGTCTCCAGGGCCCAGCCCGGTCTCTGGGCTCCAGCCTGGGCCAGATGAACCCCTGGTCCCATGGCCTCTGTGTGTGAGAGCTGAGCAGTGCCCAGGGCAGCGCCGTGCCCGGGTGAGCAGGCACTCAATCGACGCGCAGGGGCTGGCTCACCCCTGCTCATGGGACCCTCCGGGCGAGACTCTACGCTTATCACCCTTTAAAGTTGGGAAACTGAGGCCCGGCCAGGTGAGCCACTGGCCTGAGGTCACAGCTGGAGGACTGGGATGCAGCCCAGATGGTCAAGTCCACAGCCCGTGCTGTCCACAGGAGCTCGAGTCCAGCTGGCATGAACGAGGGCAGGAAGGGGACGCTGCGAGAGCCCAGGGTCTTGAGTGCCACCCAAGCTCCCCACAGAGCCCCTCTGTTCGAGTCCCTGGCCATGAGGCCTGCTGTGGGGACGAACGGCCCAGCCAAGGCCCACGCAGGTGGGCGGTGCAGTCAGATGCTGCCTGGCTGGGCTCAAGCAGCCTCTCCTCTGCCTGCTGGACACTGGCCAAGTCAAACACCCCTGTCTGGCCGATGCCTCCTTCCTAGAAGCCCTGGCCGGACTGTGGAATGGGGTTTCTGCACAGGAACGCAAGGCTGCTGCCGACCCAGGGCTGGGCACAACCCCAGACACCCTGCACTGCGGTGGTCCACACCCGTGTTCCTGGGCTCCCAACATACCACAGAGCTGGCCGTGGCAGAGCACACCAGTGCCACCCGCACATCTCCACTCACCAAACCCCTCGCTGGCCTCAGAGCCCCACGGAGTTAGTGATGGCTGCAAAGCTCTCCAAGCACAGGGCTCAGAGCCAGCTCTGTAGTTCTTGCTGCAGGGTCTGTGGGTCGGTGGGTGGCTAGCTCAGGACAGCTCTGCTTCTCCACTCTGCCGCCCGGCCCGGAGGAGCCACACAAGAATTTGCCCTTCGACTGGCAGAAGCCCAGGAGCTCAAGCAAACCACACAAGCAGCTGAAGATCTGCCAGCGTCACCTCTGCTACCATCCCATTGGCCACAGCAAGTTGGAGCCTGGCCCAGCGCCCGGGAAGAGCGGCTCTGCCCAGCTGGAGCGAGGGGAGAGGTTTGTGGACCGTGATCAAACCAGTCGTGCTGTGCTTCCCTCTCCAAACACACACGTCGAGCACTCTGCACACGTGCATGCAGGAGTGTCCGGGAGGAGGAGCCAGCTCAAAACCTCTGCTCCGCTTAGTGTCGGGGCTGCCTGCAGCCAGAGCTGCATTTCTTCTGGTGAAAGGCTCCTAGTCCTCCTCTGGGACAGTGAAGGCAGTGACCCCAAAGTCCCTTCCTTCTCTGGCTTCTCTCGGCACCAGCCTTGGCAGCCCCTTCCGGGCCTGGGGCGTCTGCGCCCGCCTTCCTCGTCAGGCTTCCTGCTTGGATGGCGTCTACCTCCTCACTGCTGTCACGTTTCTTTCATAGCAGCCATCTTGTTTCCGCCTGACTCTCATCAGCACATTATGTGATCATATTTACAAATAATCATCTGCTGCCATATTTACCCCGTCCTGTGTGTGTGTGTGTGAGACTCACTACAACATCCTCAGCACCTGACAAACAAAGCAAGCCCTTTGTTGAGGTTATATCTACATGACCCCCAAGCCTCATGAGCTTCTAGGTGGGGCTCTGGCAGCTGACTTGCTGTTAGGGAATCCTGTCTGGTGGAAGAGGCGGGTCACGGGGGCGTGTCCTGCAAAGGCTTCTCCTAGCCTCCCGCCCCTCCTCATTAGCTCCCTGCTGCTCTCCAGGACCCTCTGCCAGGCCTCCCCACCTTGAAGCCAACAGACTATGGACTGAAACCTCTACAAACTGTGAGCCAAGATAAACCTTTCCTCCTTTAAGTTACAGGTGTTTTCTAAATAAAATCTTTAATGTTGACCGTATATAATATTTAAAGTACAATGAATTTTCTTTTTTACTGTTTATGTATAGTTTACAAAATAAAAAAATCTTGTTACCAGAAAAATAAATAAATAAATGAATGAATTACAGGTGTTTGGATATTTTGTCCCAGCAATGAGAAAAGTGATTAAGACACCTAGGCTGATCCTACTTGAGTCCTTTCGAACGAATGAACGAACTTCCAGGGTCGCTGTACAGTTTTCCTTCTGAGCGACACTCCGTTCTGCATCCTCGATTCTCATTCCTTCCCACACAGCCCAAAGCATCCCAAGGCTGATGCCGTTTCTTCTAGAGCCCACAGAACAGTGGCAGAGGCAGAAAGGATGACAGTCATGACCCACCCCTGCCTCTGGCAGGTCAGTGACCCAGAACAGACCTGTGTGACAATGCTTCACACTGCTGCAGCATTTGCACGATATGCACAGCAGCTTGCATGTTACCTGATACCCACAATATAAAGGAGGAGAGGTTTTTGGCTTATGATTTGAGAGGGTGCAGTCCATGGCTTGCGGCTCCGAGGCAGGAGCATCTTGGTGGAAGGGCCTGGTGGAGCAGAGCTGCTCACTTCATGGGGGCTGGGAAGCAGAGCCTGGAGGAAGAGGCCAGCAGGAGACAGACCCTCTAAGTCCCCCACAGTGACCACCTCTTTCAACTGGGCCTTCTCCTGGCTGCACACTCATCTATGAGCATCAGTGAGTCCACAGATAAGCACAGTGCTCCATGATCCTTTCTGGAAATCTGTCTGTCCAGGCAAGTCGATTAATTTGAGCACAGCCTACAGATGGGGAAACAGGCTTAAGAGGGCTCTGGAACCCTCCATCCTCCACTGGCTGGCTGGCTGCTCCCTGACTTGGAGCAGGGGAAGGATTTGGATTCCGTGGTTGGGAGAAATTCTCTCATCCTCTACTGCAGGACACTGACAAGGAAACACATGGCCACACTGGCCCCCTGCAGGCTGACTGAACTAATAGCAGGTGTTGGTAAGGGGGGTGGGAAAGGGGGCATCCTTATCCTGGAGCTGCAGAACACGAAGCTTGCCCTGCCTCGGACTTCCTGCTATGCATGACCCTAATCTCCTTGAGTCAGGTTTTCCTGTGCCTCGTGGCTGCAGAAACACGTGCTGCCAGAGGGGCTTCCTGGTGTGGCCACCACATGACCTGAGACAGGCAGGGGTGGGGAAGCAAAACGATCCAGAAACAGATCCACAGGCTGCAGAGAGTGACTGGAATGGAAAACGGAAGTGCTGACCGCCAAGACTCACTTGGGGCTGGAGGACCAGCCGTTGGGGCACACAGAACAGGGTCAAGGACTGGACGAGACCAGCAGGTGCTGGCCTGGTCTTGACGATGTCCTGGGCAGCTTGAGCCTCGCTCTGCACTGAACCTCGCAGCAGTGCTGGTGGCCATGCGATGGGAATGTTGGTCCCGAAGAGCCTGGCCCCTGGCCCCCTGGAGCCCCCGGGGAGGGACTGGGGTCCCAGGTGCAGTGGCACAGAGCACTCCAGCAGTCACCGGGCTGTGACACCGGTGTGCAACCCCACAAGGCCCGGGCTGGGCTGCTCCCGGGGAGGGATGCTAATCTCCTGGCACTTTCCGTGGGCTGCACGGATGGGCTGTGCCTGTCCCAGGCCAGAGAGCTCCCTGCCTTGAGAACCGAGGGCGGGCACCAAGGGCACCTACAAAAGTCTCAGCAACCAAGCATGGGGAGCCCGGGGCAGAAAACCCAGGGGGACCCTGAGTCCAGCAACACGGCAGCTGGCTGGCTTTGGTGAGAAAAGTGTGCAGCGGGCAGGACACTGAGGTCCCCCGGGCAAGGCTCCAGGAAGCCCGGGGAGTTGGGCAGGAGGGAGGCCGGGAGTGCGGGTCTCTTCTCACGTTGGGCCTGGCGTGCAGAGGACCAGTGAGGACGCCAGGGTCAGTCGGCAGCAGGGAAGGCTTATGGGTCCCCGAGGAGCAGTGTGAGGACAGGCGGCCACTGACAGAGATCCCAGGCAGGCGCCGCTGTGGTGGGGGAGCCCTCAACACTGCCGGAGGAAGCAAGAGACAGCCCAGCTGCACCAGGGCAGTGGTGGCCCCGTGGCCCCTGGGTGCCCACACGCTCCAGCTCTATCTCCAAGCCACAGACGTGGTTCTGCTTTGGCCAGCTCCCTTCCAGTCCCCCTTCCTATTGCTTGTTTGTTTGGAGACCCGGAGGTTGGGCACCAAGGGAACCCATGAAAGTCTCAGCAACACAAACGAGGGACACACTCATCCGATTCCGTCCCAGCTGTGCTGAGTTTGCAAAGACGACCTCGGGCACGTCGAACTCCACGGCCCTGAGAGTGAGAGGAGTTGGCAGGGCCGCCGGCCTCCCTGCACGCGTGCCGGAGGAGTGGTGAGGGGAGCGACGGCGGTGATGCCGGCCACCTGGCCGCCGGAGTGGCGCTTTCTTCTGACACCAGTCCCCTGTCCACTGTGTCCTGGCCGGCCGTCTGGTTAGATTCTCCCACTTCTACGGAGTCAGTCAGACCCACAGGACGGCTCCTGCCAGCCAGTCCAGGTCTCGGGTCGCCTGTCCTGCTGAGGGACGGAGTCACAGCCAGATCTCGCAGGAGCTCTCCGGGAATCAGCAGTCTGAGGGAGAGACAGTGCTCTGGAAACACTTGCCTCACAGGGAACGTGCACAGCCAGGTGAAGGGCGGGCGGGGAGGTCGGGGGGGTCCTAGGCACAGCTCTGTCCCTGTGAGTTTGGACAGAGGGCTCCATGCAGAAGCTGAAGTTCGGGGCGCTGTGGGAGCCGGGTACCGCCTCACGCTGTGGGATGAAGTGGGCGAGGGTTCTGTCCCAGGAAGCTGCCCTGGGTGGGGGCCCTCAGATCCTGCCAGGACGAGCGGGGGGGGGTCAGCTGCCCTGGGCTCGCTGTGGGCTCTGACCCGGCTCTGACCCGGCTCTGCCACCCCTGGCTCCGCCCTGACACGTCCCTCCAGCGCTCCAGTCCTCGCTGGCGTCTTCTTTCCCAGAGGTGTCCCAGGTGCCCTGCAGAGCTCCACAGAGTCGGCAGAGCAGGGTCCCCCGGGGGACACAGGCACACCAGCCCCATCTCACAAGCCCTGAGTGAGTCCTACCCTCCTCGTGCCTCGCGCCACCCAGGATCAAAGCTCAGCCCTCACCAGCACCCAGGAGACAGGGGGAGCAGAACAGGTCGCCCTTGGCTCCTGCTGTCCCTGCATGTGCCCTCCCTCTCTAGGCCTCTCCCCTCTCACAGCAACAGGCTACCTTTTTTGTCTCATGCCAAACAAGTCCTCCTACACCTGGACCTCCTGAGATCACCTTTGGCCCTAAGCAGTAATGGAGACGGATGGGTGAGCAACCGTGTGGATGACCAGTGGCCCAGGGGAGCATGGCTGGACTGAGGCAGGAGCTGGGTGGAGACCCCCCTATGGCTGGAGGCGGCCCTGTTGCCCCAGGGGCTGGCTGTCCCCACAGGTGCATGACCGGCTGGATCGCTACTGCTGCGGCTTCCAGCCTGAGCCCTCAGACCCCTGTGTGGAAGAGAGGCTTCGAGAGAAATGCCAGAACCCGGCTGAGCTGCGGCTGGTGCACATCCTGGTATGGACCCTGAGACTTGTCCCCCAGGCCTGGGTCTGCTGTGTCCTGCAGCGATGCTGTGGCTGAGGTGCTGCACCGGTTTTTCCGATCCTGTTCTTCCCCCCCGCCCCCCCCGCCCCCCGCCAATGGTATTTCTCGAAGCCACACTGGAGAAAACAGGCCAGATGGAGCTTGGGGGTGTGGGTGAGGTGGGCAAGGGCTGGGCCCCCAAGAAACTCCAGGGAACCCCATGGCTTCTGGAAGAGGCATCTGAGGACTGGGCCTCAGAATGGGGCGCTCCCAGCCACACCTCATTCTTAAGGCACCCAGGAATTCTGTTAGTCTGGGGACGGCCTAAGGCAGACTCCCGTGGAGTGGCGCGTGGCCAGGGCTTTCCAAGGTAAAGGACATTGCCCGGCCCGAGGCACAGGTGGCAGAGGGTGGCGGTGGGATGAGTCGAGGGCGAGAAGGCCCCCTGCCCCGCCCTGGCCCCGGGGTAGCTGTGACCTGTGCACGTGGCTTCACCTTTCCACACCTGTTCCTGTCACGGGTGACACGAGTGCTTCCTCCTGAGGTCGCGGGCAGGGTTCAGAGATAAATAATACCTAGGAGGCACTTAGCACAGCACCCAGTGCAGGGGAGGTGCTCAGCCACAGGGACTGTCTGGACACGCAGGGTGGGCTGCCCACCACCTGCTCCCGTGCCCACCGCCTCTGCCCATCTCCTTCCTCCAAGGTCCGGAGCAGTGACCCATCTCGCCTGGTCTACATCGACAATGCCGGCATGCTTCAGCACCACAAGGACAAGCTGAACTTCCGGCTGCTGGAGGGCATAGATGGGTAAGGGGCCCAGAGACGGGGTGGAAGCCCACTCTACTGGACCTGGGCTTGGGGCAGGGGGTGCTGGGAAGCCCAGAGCTTGCTCCCCGGGCACCACAGCCAGAAGCCTCTTGGGCCCAAGCCACACGCCCAGCCTTCTGGAGCTCATGCTGGCCCTGCCTGGGTGGCAGGGGTGACCTGTCAGGTCTTTCTGTGTGCTTTTTCCTGCAGAGGGTCAGCAGGGTGACCTGGGGACTTCACAGGCTGACTTGGCCTGGGCAGGCTGCCCACCTGCCTCACCTTCATCGGGACTCTCTGAGGTCACTTTGCCTTTCCTGTCGTGGGCTCCAGGTTCCCAGAGGCAGCTGTGCGGGTCCTGGCATCCGGCTGTCTACAGAACCTGCTGCTCAAGTCCCTGCAGATGGACCCGGTGTTCTGGGAGAGCCAAGGCAGGGCCCCGGGGCTGACACGGGTCCTCCAGACCCTGGAGTGGCGGGGACAGGTCCTGCTGGAACACATCCGGAAGCACAACCTCACGCTCTTCCGGGATGAGGACCTGGAAGCCACCACTGCCCAGGCAGGCCGGCTCAGCCGCTGGGTGCCATGGGATGTGACCCTGAGCTGACAGCATCCATCCTGATGGCCAGGCTTCCTCGGTGCTAGAAAGCAGGACATGTGGGCATCACCTGCTCTGAGTGGCAGAGGTGGGGCCGGGCTTGCCCTTCTGCCTTCTCAGGGCTGCCTCCATCCTCCTGCACTCCTAAATGGCTCCAAGGGCGCTCTGGAAACTGCACCACACACCTACACTGGTGCACTGCCTGTGTGCACGGGGCAGGGAAGCAGCAGTGTGCCGTGCATGCACCGCACACAACACAAAGTCAAATAAAGGGTCTCCGGGAATACCTGTGGCCCCAAGTGCTGAGAAATTAGGCACTAAGCATTTGTCTTCGTGGGCTTTCAAAGTTCAATTCTTAGTTGTTTCTGGCTTAAAAATTATAAATACATGCTCCCTAAAAAGAAGTTTGCAAATTATAGCATAGAAGACAAAAAGTGAAAGTCCTAGAACCCCCTAGAGATGTGTATGTGTGTCACACTCACACTACATGCAAATTAAAATAACATCATGCTTGTCAGTTTCCTGGTTTTACTTTACTGACTCCATCTGGACTGGCTACTTTTTGTTGCCGATTCCAGGGAATCTCGGAGGAATGTGCTGTCTGTACTCAGCCTTCCCCATGAACATGGACATTTAAGTTGCAGACACTGCTGCTGCGGACATCAGGGCTTCCACACACAGACTTCTGGGTCAAAAGGCCTGGCACTTGACAGACACTGAACTGCTCTGAAATGTGTCCATTTACATTCTCCATGAGCGCAGAGAATGGATTAGTTCCCTTTGCCCTCACCAACACTTGATCTTCTCAGAGTTGTTTTTTAAATAAATATGGGGGAAAACCTATTTTAAAGACTGCATTTCTGGAGCTGGGGATTTAGCTCAGTGGTTCCACCACCTCCCCCTAAGCACAAGGACCTGAGTTTGATCCCCGGTGCCAAAAAGAAAAAAAACAAAGAGTGCATTTCCACTCTCACAAGTGAAGTTACCTATGCACAAGTCTCGAGCCTTCTCTGGGTGCTGCCAATTTGCTCGAGATCTCTGGACGTAATTAGTGTGGTCTCGCGCTCGCCTGTGGGAGACCTGGTGGCTGCGTTCTCGTGCAGTCTGTTACATGTGTCTTGACTTTGGAGTCTGCCAGGTGGAAGACTCTGAGTCTTCCTAGATTCATGCCTGCTTAGAAAGGCTGTCACTGCTTCAAGCTTGTTAAAATGCTCTTCACGTAGTCCTGCTTTTATAGTCACTCTAAATCCATAGGAAATTTAGATTTGAGAGCAGTCTGAGTTAGGGATCTGACTTGTTCCATCCTCCCCCGAATGGACACCCAGCTGTTCCACATCAGTGTTCAACTCCTCCTTCTGTACTGGTCTCCAAGTGTCATGTCCTACCTTATGTTCCACACAGAGGGGCATCTGTGTTGTCCCACTGATACTAATTTTTCAACTTCTGCATCAATGTGACACTGTTTTAATGAGTTCCTTTATTTTTTTGTTATACGGTAGGACCAGCTCCCATCTTTCCATCCTTTTTTCTCTGCGACTTCTGTGCATTCTGAAATATGACAGGAATCAAGCTTTCCTCTCCCACTGCCCTCCAAATCCCTTTGGTGGTTTGACTGGGATTATATCAAATTTACAGATGAACTAGTATGTGGCTGCCTCCCCCATCCATGTCCAGACTTCTGGCTCTGAGTTAGGTCTTGTGTGTGGACTCACGTGGGAGCTGGGACAGTGGCAGATGGAGGCCACGGTCAGGGAAAGGCACATGGCACCCATGAAGATGAGCCATGGACCAGTGACTGGGCAGCAGGAACACCACAGAAGACAGCTTTGGCCCAGGAACCCAAGGCTGGAGGTGCCTTCTCTGCACAGAGCCACAGACTGGGGCTCTTTCTGGTCAGCCACACCTCTGCCCTTCTTCCTGCACAGTCTCCTCCTCCCAGGATGATCTGAACAGTGCCCTCTTACCTTGGAGCCAGACTTCCTGGACGTCAGGGGCAGGGCTGGGGAGCTGCTGAGGGAAGAAGGACTCAGGACGGTGAGCGGCAGCTGGGCTGCATGGGCTGAGAAGCCACCGCTGTGGCCCCTCAGCTCAGCAGCGCTGGGCACTGGGGCTGTGACCGTGGGCTCTGAAGGGACTGGGACCTGCGGGGCCCCTGAGCCAAGGCGGCCATGCAGCTGCTGAAGAGGATGGCATTCGTCCCACGTGAGCAGTCCCCGGGAGAAGAGGCCCTCAGGGGCCCCGAAGCTTCAGGGGAACCTGCCAGCAGGGACAGTATGCCCAGGTGTTGGGCCTGAGGATCTGGCTGAGCCCGAGGGAAGGCCCCGGGGATGCCTCTTCCTCCCCACACGCTCTCCCACCCACTCCAGCTTCTACCTCACAGGGCTGGGGATGGAGCAGCGCAGCCCGCCGCTCCACGACCTCCTCAGGAGACCATCGGACGACAGGTGGCAGAGCACCCACCTTGACACTTTCCTTTGGCCCAGCGAGGACACTCGACAGAGGCCTTCACCATCGCTTACTGACTGCTCTGGACACACTGCCACTGGGCCACTGGTGAACCTCGTGACCACAGCAACTGCCAACCATGCGATCACACGGCTCCCGGGGGCCTGAACCCCAACCCCAGGACTTGGTAGGAAAGAGCGAGGTCACTGAGCCACAGCGGGTCCTGGGTTCTCACTCCCCTCCTTCTCACGCCCTCCTCCTGCTAAGGAGCTCTCCTTACGGACAACCAGGACAGAGGAGGGATCTGGCGGGGAGACAACAGGGTGCGGGGCAGTCTGCTCAATAAACTAACCAATCACTGCAGTCACCCCCGCAGGCCCGGACCTGGGCGGGTCACAGGCCCGGGGCCCCCTGCCCGGCACAGCCTGCCTGCTACGTGGTGCACACCAGCACGTCTGCAAAGGGCCCGGGCAGCATCTTGTTGAAGATGCAGCGGACCCACACCAGGTAGGTGGTGAAGGGCTTGATGTTCTCAGTGAAGGTATGGTTCTGCAGCGCCAGGATGTAGGGCACGTAGGTGTTCTCACCCTGCTCCTGCAGCCACACCTCGTACCTCACCTCCCGCACCTTCAGGAACCTGAGGTTCCAGGGTATCTGCCACGACACGCTGAGCCGGGCCTCGGAGGCACCCTGCACCGCTGCCTGGCACCGTGCATCCCGCACCTTGCCAGGGAACAGACCGACCGCCCACTTCTGCCTCCGCGCCCCTGGCCGGCCCTTCACCACACGCCGGATGGCCTGCAGGAGGGACGGGATGTCCACCCTGGTGTCCTGGTAGATGCGGAACAGCCACTCGGGGTTCCGGCAGCAGAGATGCTGTGGGACCTCGCGGCTCTGCCGGATGCGGGCCTGCTCAGCGCGGTCCAGGTGTGCGATGCCACCCTGGTCCCAGGCCCGCTCGGGGTGCGTGACTGTGTTCTCCGGGATGAGGTTCCGCCAGGCGACATACTGCAGGTCCATGCCGGGCAGCGTGGCCAGAGTCTTATAGGGCGTGTAGTGGTCGGGGTTGACAGCGTAGGGGAAGAGCTCCACCACGGCCGCGCCTCGGGGCAGGAAGAGCGCGGTGACCAGCTGCGCCCCATGCATGCTGACCAGCATGGAGGCGTTGCTGACCAGCCGCACGATGTCCGCAAAGGCGTGCTCCTCCAGGGACACCGTCACCGTCTTCATCTGGAACTCCTGGGCCAGCGCCAGCAGCAGCTCGGCCTCATTCAGGATGAGTCTGTTGTGGGTGCGGCTGAAGACCAGAATGTACTCCTCGGCCAGCGGGGCCCTGGCGTGGCTCACATTCAGCTTCTCTGTCATGAAGCGCGCGAACTGCCGGATCTCGTGGCCAGACACGAGGATGTTGGCCTTGGGGCCCTGCGGCTGCATGAAGCCATACTGGTACCAGGTGGTGACCTTGGAGAGACCCACGAAGGCATGGGAGAAGCAGAGCAGGCGGCCAAGGGTCTTGAGCTGGGCCCGCAGCAGGGGCGGCTTGGGGCTGAGCAGCCTGTAGAGGTCGAAGTGGGCGCCCTCGGCCCAGCCCTCCATGAAGAAGAGCCGGGCCTCACGCGCCAGGCCTGGGAACTGGCGCAGTGTGTAGAAGATGGGCAGCAGGTCATCGTGGAAGACGTGCATGAGGTTCTCGGGGTTGAAGCGGTTGGCAATAAGGGCCACATCGGGGACAAACACAGGCTTGGGCATGAAGTGCAGGGTGGCGGCGGGCAGCTCCACGAAGTTGAAGTACTGCGTGTTGTGGTCCTCCACGGTGGACAGGTCGAGCAGCGCCGGTTGGAAGCGCCGGGCGCCCAGGTTGGGCAGCATGACGGAGGAGTTGCCGTGGAAGAAGACGAACTCCTCAGCCTCGCTGGAGTAGCAGAGCCACTTGAAGCGGCAGACACGGTCCGTGTGCGTTCGGCCTGTGCACACCATGTGCGTGCCGCCCTCTGTCAGGATCTGCAGGGCCTTGGGGTAGTCGATGTGCAGCGCTGCCCCAGGCTCAAGGGCCTGGTGGCCGAGGGCCAGCTCCTCCTCCAGGCTGGCTGCATGCTCACGCAGCCGAACATGCTTCCACAGCACGGCTGCCAGCACCGACACGAGCAGGGCGTTGAGCACTGCAGACAGGTGCATCCTAAGGCCACCACTGCAGGGCTAAGGGGATGACAGCCGTGGGGACGAGCCTCCGGCCAGGCGGGCTGTGCCCATCACTGTGTGCACTCGAGGAGCAATGCGGGCCTGAGGGGAGAAAGCACAGGACAAGGAATTGGCACAGGCAGTGTGGGTCCCAGCACCCTTTGCTCCCAGGCTGCCCAGCACTGCTGGCTCCTTGAGCCATCCAGCAGCGGGCCCTCACCGCAGAGCACACACAGGGGGCTATGGGCGGGCGCCCGACTGTCGTTCAGACTGCACAACCTGCTCCACCAGTGAGAGGCGAGCAGACACAGAGATGGGCAGTGCCCCCAACGGCCCTGCCGCGAGAGGAGTGTGCCCAGGCTCACCTGCTGGCCCCAGCAGTGGCACAGCATGGGGCAGGGTGGCTGTCAGGCCCCGTCCAGCTCCGCAGCCCCAGAGACCCCCGAAAGCCACACAGTCAGTGGAGCCAGCCACCCGCCACACCCAGCCACGCTCAGCCAGCAGACACTGGAAGGAGCAGCTCCAGCGTCACAGGCAGAGGCCGTCAGAAAGGCCCTACGACCCCGGTTTTCCACCCAGGCCTTCTAGGGCGGAGAGTCCAGGTGGTTGCTCGTCTGCTCCTTCTCTCGCCCTTTGCAAGAAGTCCATGCTTTTTGGGTGCTGCTGTGGTCTACACTCTGTGTTTCCTGGCCCCATCTGGAGCACACGGAAGGTGACAGCGCAGGGAATTCATCTTGTGTTACTGCTCAAGCTCCACTCCCCGCTGGTCCTGTTCGCTCCCTGGCCTATCATGTACAGTGTTTTCAGATCTGTCAGTGGGAGGGACGGAGATGAACTGCCTACCCCATGCTGACCAGAGCCTGCTGTCTCCCTGGCGTCTGCCTGTGTTCCCAGTCCAGGGCACTGTGAGGTGCAGCCAGGGGTGGGAAAGGCCAAGTGCTTCTTAACCACACCCAGGTCTAAGTCATGTTACAAGCTTGAGCATGTGTATAAACTCAGTCGGTTTGTTGTCACCCTTCTAATCACACCGCTGTCTCCCAGCTGCTTTCTGGTCCATCTCAGCCCCACTCCCAGGCCAAAAGCAGCCTGTGCATTATTACCCGCTCTGCACGGCAGCGGCCCTGTGAGCTGCTGTCCTGCTTCACCTCACTGTGCACATCTTCTGGACTCCCTGTGGAACCAGAGAACATGCCTGTCATTCTGCTGTGTGACAGTGGACAGGTCAGTGTCAGAAGCCCAGGCCGGCTTAGCACCCCAGTATAAAGCAGCGTACCAGGAGCAACACAGCTCAGCTAAGGCCAGACACAAAGGAACAGCTTCCTAGCTTTGCTCTTGGAGGGAGGAGAAAGGAGAAGCGGCTCATGTGGCCCTCCCCAAGGAATGGACTGGGGCTTTCTGAGTCACCTGCCGTGATCCTATCCATGGGCCGCATGAAGCCCAACCCTGGACACCTTCTGACACATTGCCGGGGCACAGCAGGAGGGAGGGACTGAGGCTGATGGCCTGGTGCCAGGCTCTGCACTTCCCAGCTCTGAGGACAAACGGAAGCCACTCAAAGGTCATCTGCCATGGTAACCAGAAGGACACTATCCCTAAGAAATGAGGATACAGGACGAGGTGAACTAGGGCTGCCAGCATGCCAGGGTGCCTAACAGTGTGCACACTTTCACTGCTGGGGCTGCTGAGGATGGCAGAGGTCAAGGTCCCAGGCCTCCGCCTGGCTCCAGGAAGAGCCAGACCCCTTCCCATCTGGAGATTCCACAGTGATTGGACGGTGTCCTCCTAAATTCCTGTCTACTCAGAATCTCAGAAGACGGCTTTATTTTGGAAAGAGGGTCTTTGTACAAGTCAGCAGTTAAGGATCTTGAAGTGAGCACATACTGTGTTAGGAGAGACCCTACCTCCAATAAAAGTGCCCTGATAAGAGACAGGAAAGGGAGCTTCAATAGGACAGACTCAAGCTGGCAGATCACAGCCTCTCTTGGACCTGGAGTAGAGACAACTGGAGAACAAATACTTAGTGAGGATTAAGAGAAGAGCTCTGGGAATCAAGAGAGCTGGCAGGGAAGTTAGAAATCGTGGAGAGGCAGAAGACAATGCAGAGAAAGGAATGAAGCCCCCTGGGGCACTGACCGCAGCTGGTGGGGACATGAACACCTGGAGGGTATACGGACACCTACCTCCACAAACACAGGGTCAGCCCCACGGCCCTAGGGAGGAGAAATGGACTTGCAGCACCTGTCCAGGAAAAACCATGGTCAAGGTGAGCTGCAACTACAGAGTAGGTCTCACTGTAAGAGTGACTCCCTCTGCATGGCAGGCTGGCACTGGAGAAGAAATCCACCGCAGCACCTGCATATCTAGGAGGGACAGAATTTGAAGCCACTTTGAGAGGGCCTTATTGTTGAAAATGGGCTATGTTGGGAAACAGGAGGCAGAACAACCACACTTCAGAGTCTCTGGGGTCACCCTACCACAGTGACCGGGTGGGAAGAGGGCCACGAGAGATAGGCATGGAGAGAGGGAGAGCTGGGTGAAGACCCCTGAGAAGTTTGAGCAGTGGGAGCTCAGGCTTGTGGCCCTCTGTGTGGGGAGCCAGGCCAGTTATGTGTGGTTTTCTGAGGAGCTGGATCCGAAAGCAGTGAGATTGAGTCCAGCAGACTGCCTTGTTCTCCTTCCAGGACAGAACTCAATGATCTGTTTGCTTTTCCCATCTGCAATGTGATAAGGACTATGCCTCGGCTTGGACATTTGCCACATCCCTGGGTTTACGGGAAGAGGGGCCTCTGGAGCCAGTGGGGCACCTCAGAAGACCACAGGGTGCAAAGCTAGTGGGGAACAGCAGTGGCTTAGGGGACACAGAAAGGCACAAACAAATAATAACAGCTGCTAGGGTGAACACAGCCCCGAGGCAGACACAATGACTGCCCTACCCAGCAGGAAAGACAGGGCAAGACTCAGTACCTACATAGCAAGCCTGGGACATGGTCAAAAGACCAAATTTGTGAATTTCTGGTATAGAAGAGGATGCTGAGATTGAGACTAAAGGTACAGAAAATCTAATGACATAGTAACAGGAAACTTCCCAAGTCTTGGGAAAGAAACTGACACATCAGGTACAGGAGCCATTTAGGACACCAAACAGGCATGACCTGAAAAGAATCTCGCCACAACACATCATAGTTAAAATGGCAAGAATACAGAGCAAGGAAAGAATACTGAAAGCTGCAAGGGAAAAATGCAGAGCTACTTGTACAGGCAAAGCCATGAAAATAACTTCAGACTTATCTGTAGAAACCCTAAAGGCCAGGAGAGCATGGAATGATGTACTTCAAGCCCTGAAAGAAAGTAATAGCCAATCCATATTACTATATCCAGTGAAACTATCCTTAAAAATTGAAAGAGAAATAAACAACTTAAGATAAACAAAAAAAAAACAACTAAAGAAATTCTCAACTAACAAGCCCGTATTACAGAAGATACTTAAAGGAATCCTACACCCAGAGGAGGAAGGGTAGATAAACTACTGAAAATGAGGAAAGCACTAAATATGAGAAGAACAACTTAGTGATGGGAATTAGTACATACCTTTCTAAACAACTGAATGAGAATGGTTTTAATTCTTCAATTAAAAAACACAGATTGGCAGACTGGATTAAAAAACAAGATCCAATTCTGCTGACTGCAAGAAACACATTTCACTAGCAAAGACAGACTGAAAGTAAAAGGGTGGAAACCAATATTCCATGTAAATGGAACCAAGAGCAAACAGGAGTAGCTAAACTCATATCTAACAAAACAAAATTAGAAGAGACAAAGAAGGCCACTGCATATACAAAGGGGAACAATTCACCAGGAAAACAAAACAATTGTAAATAAATATGCACAGAACAATCAATGTGCCCAATTTCAAAAGACAAACAGTACTCAACATAAAGGGATATACAGGTCCAAATACAGTAACAGTGAGTGACTTCAATACTCCACTTTCACTAAAAGGTCATCCAGACCACCCCCTGCCACCAAAAAAATCAAGAGAGAAATATCAGAGTTAAACTACACCATAGAGCAAATGGATTTAACAGATGTTGACAGAACACTCCATCCAACTACAGAATACACAGCAGCTGATGGAACATTCTCCCAAACAGATCATATTTTAGATCATAAAGCAAGCCTTAACAAATACAAAAGAAATGAAATAACTTATTGTATCTTATCAGATTGGCTTATAACAGAATGAAACTAGAAATTGGCAAAGAAACCACAGAGACTACACAAACACATGAAAATTAAACAATTCACTTCTGAATGACCAGTGGATTATTGAAGCAATCAGGGAGGAAATTAAAAAATTCCTAGACACAAATGAAAATGGAAATACAACATACTAGAATCTCTGGGATACAGCAAAGCCAATTCTAAGAAGGAAATTTGTAGACATGAGTGCCTATATCAAAAAATCAGAAAAAGATCTCAAATAAATAATCTAATGATGTGTCTCAAAGTCTTAGTTAAACAAAACCAAAAACCAAGTCCATTGGAAGGAAAGATACAATAACGATCAGAGCTGATACTAATGAGACAGAGACAATATACAGGATCAATCAAACAGAGTTGGTTCTTTGAAAAGATAAACAATATTGATAAATCGTTAGCCAGACTAACCAAAGGAGGAATGCTGCTGTTAATAACCACACTGCACATCTGTGGCATGGCTGGGATGTAAAACAAAGCAGCCTCCCAGTGGGGACAGAGCACCCTGAGCTGGGGAGAACTGCAGGTCAGCAGCAGGTGCCACACTGCATCCATGTTCAGCTCTAATGAAGCTGATGATCCCCAGTGACCATCTCTGCTTCTCATCTACCTGCCTGGTCTGGGCCTGGGCCAGGTGTGACTTACGAGGGGCTCCTCCCCTCTCTGCCCACTCTATCCCTGGCACTTGCTGCACCTGAGGAGATCCCCCCCCCCAATCCCTCTACTGGCCCACACCATGCCTCTGCCACTGCCTGGGGCTGGCCTCAGCCGTGGGCAGCCAACTCCGCAATGAGTTGGACAGACAGCTTTGCTCTCTTGGAGACACCCCTAACACTGGTGCTAAGCAACCATATCTATCATGTGGCATCCCAAGCCAGCCTGGCTGAGTTTCTAGGGTGCACTGTGGGCTGCAGGCAGTTCCCCAAAGAGGGTACACACTAAGTGTGGGAGATTAAAGGCCAGATGGACTTGATTCAACTCCACCTCCCTGGACTCTGGGGTCTTCTCTGATCTCAGGCTTCTCAGCAGTAAATACGAGAGTGTAGCACCCTCCTCACAGGGCTGTGGAAAGTCAGAATAAACATACTGGGTGAAACTCCTGAATGCAGATGTATGAAACTGGCAATTTCATTCCGTTTGTTTCTACCTAATAGGTGAAGTATGCAGCAGAGAGGAAAAGAGAGGTCAGAGAGAAAGCTGATTATGATACTCTAGACACGCCCAGCTGCCTTGCCCAGCTCGGAGCAAAAGCTGCTCAGTGCCCACGCAGCACTGTCACTTCCAAGCACAGGCACTGGAAACAAAGGACTTTAACCTAAGCCAGAGAAGCTCACTTCCGAAGAAACGGAGCCCGAGACCAGGCAGTGAACGACACCAGCCGTGCTGCCCGTGGCACGTGAGGCCCGTGGCACGTGAGGCCCGGCCAAGCATCCTAACACACGACATCAGGCACTCTGGTTTCTACCCAGTGTCCGTCCTCCTCTTCCCAACAACAGCCCCGACTCGCGCAGTTGCCTTCCGACCCTCACTGAGCTCAGAGAAGCCAAGAGCCCTTGCTCTGGGGATGGAGCATGCGTCAGGACCTGCAACCGGCCCTGCACGCACACTGCCCGAGAGGGCATGAGCCCGCAGGGGAGGAGTCCCACTCCAGGTTAACACACAGCGCACAGAGGGGGGCAGGTGCTGGCCCGTGGTGCTGGCTGGATCGCTGACCAAGCAGAAACCCGCTCGAGGGCAAAGACAGAACACCAAGGACACACGTGAGGCAGGGACGGCACCTCCAGGCCCTGACCTTCCTGCTCTAAGAGGTGAAACTTTCCCCATCGGAGAGTCCAGGCTGGGAGGGGTCCCGGCATCCCACACACAGGAGCGGCTGAGTGGCACAGGAGATGGCTTTGCAAAGGGTCTCACACCGGGTCTGCCTGCATCTCAATTCTGGGCTCTGCCCCAGTGGAATTCCCTGGCACTACTTAGTTTCCCTGTGGCCTTTCTAACTGGAGCAGGTGAAAAGGCCTTTGCAAGGAAAATGGAAACAAATCACACCTGGGCACCATCTGCTGGTAGGGAAGGAGGGCCAGGGCAAAGCAAGTGTCTCGGTGCAGGCAGCAGGCGCTCCAGGAGCCCCACAGGAAGTAGGCGCCCACTTTGTTCCCGCTCTCCGCTTCCCGGAACCATGAGGGCCAGACTTGCTGTATGGGCTGGAAGGAAGGAGGCACCATCCAAGGAGCCCAACCCGTTGGAGTGGACGCTTCACACAGAGAGGGTGGGGAGAAACTCAGAAATGTGAGCCCAAGCCAAGGCAGCAGGCTGGGGTGCAGCTCAGGGAATGTGGACTTGGAGATGTGTCCAGAGGGGCAGAGAGAATGGGGGGAAAGCCAGCCAGGAGCTCCCTTCTGGGCTCAGTCCCCACTCTCACAGGGGACAAGGGCCTGGTGGGACCATGCCAGGCTAGGGTAGAGGAGACCAGACTCACGGCAAGTCTGAGTTTGCAGATGACTTCAGTGTTAAAGAAACGCCACAGACCTGAAGCTAATCCCTTAGGAAACACTGCTCACCTCCCAGTGGGCGTTTCAGCTACGAGAGAAGGTGAAGCCACAGCTGCCCCAGGGGCCTACAGTGAGGAGGACAGTGGGCCTACACAGTATGAGGCCAAGAACTTGCAGGCTAGCTGTGGTTGCCCTCTCGGTAGTTTCTAACTGCACCTGCAGCCTGGCCTCCCGCTCTCCAGGGGAGGTCTCTGAGCCTGGGAACCCTGCAAGTGAGAGCTGCTTACACTTGAGTGTTTCCTAGTCTTTTCAGACCCACAGACCCACTGATAAGAGAAACCTTCATGGCCCAAACAAGCCATATCCCCTTCCTGAGACTCCTTCAGTCACTGGCTCTCTCTCTCCTTTAATATCTGCCCCTTGAGACCCAAAGATTTCATCAAACTTCACTTCCTGAAGTCGGTATTGTGTATCTGTATCTACATTGCTTTATTTCACTTTTCTGATATAAAATCATTCACTGCATATGCTTTTCTAATACACAGGCCCCCACCTGCTAATTCTCCATCCAGTCCACTTAGCTACCAACTACTGTGCTGAGGCTGAACTGCATTCAACAGTGGTTTTATGACCATGTCTGTTCAATGTCCCTGGCCGTGCCACAGGTACCAGCTACCTTACCACTGCTGTGGACTGCTCAGAGAGAAAACCTGTGTGCTGAAACACAACAGCAGCTGCAGGAGCCAGGGGCCAGAAAGAGAATGGAGGAGAGTTCATTCACCCTCAAGGGTGGGAGAGGGGAAAGCAGAAAACACGGGAAGGTACAGAAAGCTTAAGGAGGGAATGGAAAGGCAAGCTGAGCAGTCTCCCCAGGAGGTGGCTAGCCCAGCCCGAAATCCTCAGCCCAGGGGCCACAGGCTGACAGGGAGGGACAGCTGGGTACGTGTGAGTGTGCACCCTCACATGGAAGCTCCCAGTCCTCTCCCCAGGGAGGGCCTGGGGCAGCAACATGGCAGCAGCAAGGCGCACACTCACCCAGATCCTGGTTTCTAAATACTGTATCTCCCTCTACTAGAAGGAACCTCTGCTGGAGAAGTGACCGACTCCAGGGCAGGGCAGGGAAAGTATCAGAGGAGCCTGGGACACCACGCAGTGCCGAGGTGAAAGGAGGTGCTCTAAAAAATGGGGACACAGGGAAGACACGGGGCCAACCCGGTGGAGCTCCCAGGAGCTGAATATGGAACAACGTGAGAAAAAGGAACAGCAACGGCCTGCAGCCTGTGGAATACAATAACACCCACGAGTCAATACTGATAACCACAGCTGAATCAATAGAGAGGGAAGAAGAGACAGATCTTCCTCGAAGAATTCCAATTCCTGTAGAAACAATGATGGAAAAAGAAAGTCACCACGTGACCACTGCACAGAGATCTGCTGATAGAGGCTTAGGTCAGCGGGGGAGAGAATGGTGAGAACTGGGATATTTGCAGTCTCAAATTTCTCCCCCATGAGATTCTTACTTTCAAAGGCAAAATCAAGAGGTACAGTAGAGAAGCCTGCAGACAGCCCTGAGCAGAGTCACTGGCCTCATCCCCAGCAGAACACAGCGACCCCACAGCCCTCCATGCCATGCCGTAAGGAGGGCACCTGTTTTTGTGGTTGCTCACACAACCTACACCGGTTCTGTCCGTTTCTCGTCGTGAACTTCGGTTCCAGCTCCAGTTCTAGCTCTGAATGAGCTCTGCGGGCCAGTGAAGGAGAAGACGTCAAACTCAAGCGGAGGGATGGAGGGACGTTCTTCCCAGCATCTGGCCAGTTCTCGTCAGCAGAGTGAGGGGCCCAGGAACCAGGAGGGTGAGGAGCTGTCTCTGCTCAGAGGACAGCCGGACACTCAGCACACAGCAATGAAATGCAGCGTGGGACCTGGCTTGCGTCCTCGCCAGAAGAAGGTTAACACTAGGACAACTGGCAGAACGGGAACAAGGTCTGCAGTTTGCTAAGTGTTGTGTGAATGTCCTGACTTGGGTCATTCTTCGATGGCTATGCAAGATGTCACCATGAAGGGAAGATGGCCGAAGTAGTTTTTGCAACTTTTCTGCAAAGGTAAAACTGTTTCAAAATAAAAAGCTATAAAAACAGATAACTTTAGAAACAAGAGAATATGGGTCTTTATGGCTGAAGTGATACATATACTGTGAACTCTAAAACACTCCATGGAACAGGAATGGAGACTGAGCGGAAGGCAGGATTCTGAAGCTGGAAGAGGGGAACGGGACCCTTTACGTGACTCTTCTGTGTGGGTTTGATGTAAGAGAAAGCTTAAAGGGAAACATAAATAAATCGCTTACAAATGCCAAGAGAATTGTGAAGAGAGGAAAGACATAAATTAGTATTTGGAGAAATGAATCAATACTCTCCCTGGGGAGGTGAGAGGCAGGCGTGCACACAGCATAAACTGGCACACGCTTCACGCTCATCTCAGCTGGGAAGCAAAAGCTGAGCCACCCAGGGGCCGTCCGGCAGCAAGGCCCTCGGGAAAGAGGGGCGGCCACCTCCAACCTGCACACCCTGTCCCCCGCGTCCGTGGTCCAGGGCAGCCTGGGGAGTGGTGGGGACGTGGGCAGTGGCCATCAGCAGGCAGGAGACCAGGGTCTTCCTTGGGCCCAGACGGCTGTGTGCGCGGTGGCCAATGGCAGCCAAGCACTGCGCTCGGGACCGTGGGGCAAAGCGCGCACTTGGGAGACGTGGAGGGTGGGGCCTGTGGGGCAAACAGGAGCCAGGGTGGGAGGTGGAAGGCCCCGGACTAGGCGGGCATGGGACTGACAGAAGGCAGGACAGAAGGCACTTCCGCTTCCTGAGTGGCCTTGCAAGGGGGAAAACGGGGAGAGAGCTTTGCTGGAGTGGAGAAATGAACAGTGTGGTAGGTAAAGCAGGGGTCTGGAGACTGGGCTGCCCGGGCTTCAACCAACTGCACAACTCACGAGCCAGGCAGCCAGGCAGTCTGCTCCCATGTGGACAGGATCACCAGTGAGTCTCTGACACGGGCCTCCGAACACTTCGGCTGCCACAGCTACATTTCCGTTAGGGCTTCTTTCTACTCAACAGTGACAGCCAGGAACCAAGTAAGCGACACAGCTTCACCTCACATCCCACAGGGACTGCACCCCACTCACCTTGCCCCTTTAGGGGGCGCACTCAGGGACTCACCCCATGACTTGTTTCCCTTCCCCTGTTGCAAGGGCTCCATAAGTTGACAAAAGTTCTTCCCTGCCTTGCTGGCCAGTTCTCTGGATAGAATACACAATCAAGCCCGGCAAGGTGGCACATGACTATAATCCCAGCACTCTGGGAGGCTGAGGCAAGAGGATCACAAGTTCCAGCCCAGCCTGGGCGACTTAGTGAATTAGTGAGTCCCTCCCTCAGAATAAAAAACAAAAAAAGGGCTGGAGATGTAGCTCAGAGTAAAGGTTCTAGGTTCAATCCTCAGTACTGCCAAAAATAAAAATAAAGGATCAAAGCCACCACCTCTGATATCTTTATGTTCCAGGTCGTGTGTACTAAAAATTATACACTCGGGGGCCGGGGATTTAGCTCAGTGGTTCCAATGCCAGTCTCGCAAGTGCAAGGTCTAGAGTTCAACCCCTAGCACCAAAAAAAAAAAGAATATTTATAAGAGCCTGGCGTGGTGGCACAGGCTTGTAATCCCAGCACTCGGGAGGCTGAGGCAGGAGGATCGCCGCAAGTTCGAAGCCAGCCTGGGCTACAAAGTGAGTTCAGGGCCAGCCTGAACTACAAAGGGAGACCCTGACTCAAAAAAACCCAAAAACAACAAAAAACCCCTATACATTCATTTTCTCACTTAATCCTCAAACCAACACTAAGAGGCTAACGATCTTTCTAATACCCCATTCTACGGCTCGGGACATGGAGGCTGGGAGGCGGAAGTAAGCCTGTCTCAGTCCCTCAGCCGGTGTGGCCCGGAGCGGGATTTGGACACAGACGCTCGGCACTCCTCAGCTAACAGCCCTGGCACCAACCAAACCACATCTCCTCCGCATTTCAGGGCACCTGGATGTCCCAGGTTACCAGCCCTGCCTCCTGCACCTCAGGCACCAGATTTAGGGCCCAGCTGGCATGAGGAGCAAAGAGCTCAGCAGCTCAGCCAGGACAAAGCATCACAGAGTGAAGATTCTTTTCCAAAAGAAAGAGAAAGAAGCGATAAGCAAAGAGTCTAAAAGATGCCATAAAAAGCCTTCAGACACTCAAGCAGATGGCAGGATGCTGCCAATTCACCCAGCCACTCACTGGGCCCCAGGGTGACTCAGTCTGACAGATTCCCGAACACGATCCTCCTCTCTGGACGCACCCTTCTGAGAAGCACACACGTCTGTGACTCGCCCAGAGCTGGGCATGGGCGACCCCAGGGGCTTGAGGGCCAGGAAGGGGGAGAAGCCTTGGGGCTGTGGGCCTGAGGAGGGCACCTGCTCATACCAGTCAGCGTGGGCTGCTACACCGCCACAGTGGGGCGTAAACGAGGGAAGTGTATTTCCTCACGGTTCTGGAGGCCCCTGTCTGGCGAGGCCCCTCTGGGCTTGCAGACAGCTTCAGTTGCACTGTGTCCACCGCCTTAGCTCTGTGCGTGCTGGGAGAGAGAAAGGAGCACCCCAGGCCTGTCAGATTAGGGCCCGGCCACAGCTCCCCTAAAGACCCCATCTCCAAATACAGTAACCGGGGTCAGGGCCAGACACGTGGACTGGAGGAAGGTGGCACACCCTGATTTTTCCGGAGAAGCCAGATCCATTTGAAATGTGCGATGTCCCACTCTATAACCCCTGGCAACCACAAGGATGGGAGTGAAGAAGACCACACCGGCCCGCGGGTGGGGGCTGGGGACCTGCTGCCTGGTAAGGACAGGCCACACCCGCCAGCTCTGGTCTAACGCCTCCCTCCTTTGGCTTCACTCTGCGTCCAGCTGTGAGACTGCCAGACGTCAGTCAGCCCTCCAGCAGCAGGGCCATGGGACTTGGGGCAGGCAGCCAGCACCTGCCAGACACAGGTTCACCAGACACCCAGCCCAGGAACGTGGCATGGTTTAGGTGAGCAAAATCAGATCTGAAGGACTGTTCATATTTACACCTGACAACAACAGAATTCCTTTTCTCACTGAAAAGTATTTTATCCCAAATGCAGGCTGAATTTACGAGTGCTGAACTACGGAAGCCTTGGGCCCTGCATGAATGCATCTACACACGGTGGGTAAAGACCAAATTTACCTTCAGCATCATCTCTTTCCCACCACAAGTGCTATGTGGTGTCGGCACTAGTAAGAGATGCTTACATGTGCACCAAATCGCAGGTCACTCTAGTGTTACCGACACTGGCACATTTATAGGCGAGCACAGTTTCTGGCAAAGATGGCTATCCTTTGGCAAAACACCGCCAGCTTCCGAGTGCCCCTGTAAACTTAGCATGTTTAATTTTGAAGCACATGTAATAGTCACTAAGAGCTCACATTCTTAAACTAACACTGTGACAGGAGAAAGAGAAAGCAAACTCAAAGCTGCAGATGCCAATCCTGAGCCAGCAGCTGATGCCTGGACGCAGGAGGGGGAACCTGTGGAATCCGGTCTGGCTCACCTGGTGCCTGTGCTGCCAGTCTCAGCGAAGGCTGTGCCCAGGGTGTGTGCGTGGGCAGGGGGCCACTCCAGCCTGAGGGGCTCCAGCAACCTGACTGCCCCACTTCCAAGTGACACAGCCCCTCTGCTCGCCGCAGCCTGCTGTGTCATCTGCTTTTGCTGGGCACACGGGGACACTAGAAGTAAAACCTGCCTCTGTGGTCCTCTCAGGGTACAGAGTGGCACTACTACACCCTGCTGCGCTCACACACAGGCACAGACAGGAACCGAACAACGGGAACCTGACATGAGGTTCACAAAGGGGACGCAGCACTCAGTGTGCCAAGTTTTCAAGGTGAAACTACAAATTGAAAAAAAACAGTTCTCACAGGCGACACTCAGACCCCAGTGTGTAACAGATCCCGATGGGCCTCTGGGCCCAGAGCGACAGGGCTGAACTCACGTAGTCAGAAGACACTGTGGAAGGAGGCACAAATCAGACACAGGAAACACGAGCAGGTGTGGCAGGCCGAGTTCTCAGTAGCTCCTGGGAGGCGTCCACAGCAAGCACTGCTGAACCACTGTCTGCCCTGAGCTGGGGGTCCTCCGCCACCCCAGACAGGGATGGCCAGGTCTGATGCACAGGCAGGTAGACTGGGCTGCCCCTGTTGCCGGGCACCACAGCAGTGACAGGGACGGCATGGGGTGAAAGGTTTTGCAAGCAGAGCCCCAGGGCTTGGGTGAGCACAGTGTGGCCCTTCGCAGGGGAAGCCTTGCTGTGGCCAGGCAACCAGCAGTCCCTGTCCAGGGAGGCAGGAACTTCACATCAGCAAGTGGCAGGGCGTGGCAGGTCTCCCTGTGGATTTTCCTTTGGTCCTATTACTATGTTGTCACCCGGACTCTTCCCTTTCCTAACCACGATGACACGACTGTAGCTCACGTCCACTGACCAGTCACAACGTGCAGGGTTCTCCGCTTCCCTGTGAGCTTCGTCATCATCCAGATGGCAGAACCAAAGCCCAGGGCGGTTAGGAAGCTGCCCATCTTACAGCAAAGCAGCGACGAGACCCCCATCCCCGCAGGCTTGCTAGTGTCTGAGGTCTTTTCTTCCTTTTATTTGGGAATAATTTCAAACTTACAAAAAAGCTGCATGTGTAGTACAAGGAACTCTCCTACCCTTTCACCAATCCATCAGTTGCTTTTCTGACACACTTGTTTTACCATTCTCTTTATATATACAAACTCTTTTTTCTAAACCATTTAAAAATAAGTTGGGGACATCTTACCTCTTCAGGCCCTAACAATTAATACTTTATTTCTGAAGAACAAGAAGATTCTCTTTCACAACACAAATGCGGGAAATTCACATTGACATGATACTATTATTAGTCCACGGTCTCTACCCTGGTCCACAACCTAATCCAGGGTGAGGCGTGGCCTCCAGTTACCTTGCCCCTCTGCTCTCCAATCCAGGGCAGCTCCTCCATCCTTTCTTGACTTTTATGACCTTGACAATCCCTAAGCCAGAGACAGCTGTTTCCTAGGATGCTTCTCAACCTGGGTTTGTCTGGTGTTTCCTTATGATTGGTTTCGCCAGGAATCAGTCTACTCACCTGATCTCTGAGATGAGCCTGCTCCATGGGACTCTCTGGGACACTCACCGTGGGACACAGGATAAGGCAAGGTCAACAACCTCATCCTGCATGGATGCTCACGTCCCTGAGACAAGAAGCCCCACCCCAGCTATGAAGCTATGTACTCAAGAGTGAGGCTGCTCCAGGGATGGGTGCAACCCTTTCCACCTGTGTGGACCCATGTGGGCGTGACATGACCTGCACTACCTTGGCCCCAGGCACCCAGGACTCTACCTACCAGGCCCACTCTAGTGTGCAGGCAGCAAAAGGACTTCTCTGAAGGTCAGAGCTGTCTAAGCCCAGAGGCCCTGCCTGGAAGTGGCCCTGCTCAGGACCAGCCTGGGGTACAGTGCACCAGTGGAGAGAGGCAAGTCACAGGGACCTCCAAAGCAGGACCGGTAGATTCTGGGTCACTGGGACATCAGTAATACAGAACCTTGCCTTGCCGGGGATGTAGCTCAGTGGTACCGCTGCCTGCCTGGCAAGCGCAAGGTCCCTGGTTCGATCCCTGGTACCAAAAAAACCCACTCCACAATACAGAACCTTGGGCCCCATTCACCCCAGACCTGCTGCACCAGATTCTCTCTGCAAGCAGGGCCCAGGAGCCTTCCACGGGATTCTTATGTGTGCTTGATTTTAACAGGAACTGCTTCGAGGCTTTTTAAACTATCCCAACACTATGTAATTCTGCAATCTCAGCAAGGCATTTCTGTCTAGCCCAGGTAAAGGAATGATTTAAATGAGGATAACCCTCCCCATCCTAAAGGCTAGAACAGTTCTGACCCAGCCTTTGCTGAGCTCTAGGGAAACGGAGCAGCAGCCACATGCTAAGCCTGCTAAAAAAGGTGTCCCAAACCTCTCCTTCCCATACAAATGGCACTGCTTGTGGCATGCAAGTGGCAACAAATGAGTCCCGGTCTCTGGGCTATAGTTCCCTAGATCAAGGGTGGGCCTGGCCTAAAGCAGCCACCGGTGGGAGACAGAGATGCCCTCCCACTGACCAGCAGAGAGAAGGCAGGCCCTGAGAAAGAAGCCCCTGAACAGAGCATGCGAGGCAGCTTCTCCAGTACCTTAACACAGGAAGGACAACTCCTGATTCCCTCTCAGGATGGGCCAGGACTCCTGCCGCCAACCCTCACTGTCAAAGGACCGGGCTGTGCTTCATCACTGCGTATGCCTAAAAGGATGCCACACAAGGACCTGTACTGGGAAGAGTGGAAATACAGCAGACAAGGGTCTCCAACCCCTTCCTGAGGCTTGCTTGGGCTGGGTACCCACTATACTGCAAAGAAGGTAGCTCTCTGCTGTATTCCGCAAAATGGAGCAAAGAGAAAACCTCTTAGCATAAGGCTGTAGCCATAGCAGTCGCCACTGGCACAGTGAAAGATCTTTCTCACGGACACCGGGCCCTGGGCAGGTACCAATGAGGACATGGGAATCCAGGAGGAATGAAAAGATCAATCCCTATCCAGGCCTGCTAAGGAGAAGAGGATGCTGACTCTGGGGGAGGAGGCGAAGGTCAGTTTACCACCATCTTACTTTACAGAGCACCTCCTATGTACCAGGGTCTCCTAAACCCCATTCCTGCCCTGTATCACTTAAGCCTCATAAAAAAGCTCCAATGCAGGTACTAGTATTTTCTACCTTCCCTTCCTTACCCCTTCTTCCCTCCCTCCCTCCTTGTAGCTCTACTATGAAGATACACCCCTACCCTATTTCTTCTAACATGAAAAATCTTGGGCTTAGTAGGGCTGTAAGTCCCTTGGTTAAGGTCTTACAGCTCAAGCAGGAGCACCAGGATTTGACTGTCTCTCACGCACAGTTCTTGTTTTTAAGTACTGTGCTCATCTGTCATCAGACTTGAAGGAACGTCAGTGGCAGAGAAGCAGGGTAGACCACAAACCAGAGAATGTTTATTACTTGAGGGCACACAGGTGTGGACGGCTCTGGGAACACAGTCTCACAGGTCCTAGCTGGTAACTTAGCAACTAAGACTTCTTGCTGTCATGACTCCCCACCGCTGTGTGGTTAGGGAGCTGCGGTCATTCCCTGGCCCAGGGAGATTCTAGGCAGCACCTGGGGTCATCATGATCCCAGCTGCCCTGGTTCTGTGCTAAGAAGGTGAAGCCATCAATACACAGTTACAAAACCGCCACTTTTCAGAGCTAAAAGAGCCTTCAGAATGGTTTTCTCCAACTATTTTATGGACGAGATCTTGGGAGCAGTGTGAGATCACAGGCAGCAGGGTGAAAGCGGCAGCCCGCCGGCTCCATCTGGGGCTGCTCCTCAGGCCATTTTCCCAGTAGCTAAACAAGAACACCCGGATCCTAACCAAGCCTTCAGGGCCCTCCCTGCTGCTGCTCTCCCACCCGGGAGTATTCGAGCCTGGAGAGGCCTCTGGCTTCCGGGTTGCCTCCTTCAAACACTTCACTCCCAAACCCTCCAGTGTCACCGGTCACCCAAGCACAGTCACAGAGGGCACACGTGCAGCCAACTTCGACACCAGAGGCTGCCAGGTCATAACCCGGTCCGAGAAGAGCAAAGGCCACAGGTAGCGGAACAGGAGAATGAAAAGGCACGGGAACTCTGGTTCTGTCTCAGCAGCTACAGCACCAGGCCAGCGCTTCACCCCTCCAGACACTCACTTCCTGGCCTGAGACACAGGCACAATTACACCGACTGCACAGGGAGGCTCCAGGTTTGTGAATGCCAACAGGCAACACAGGCAAAGCACTGTGCCTGACAGTTATCTTCATAATAGCATCCTTAACCATAATAACAACATAACAGCTAGTTACCCGTCCTTACTCTATGCCGGGCACAATACTAGTGCTTTACAAGCTTGACTCACTCCCCAATACAGCCCAAAAGCAGGCATCATTAATTACATCTCTCATGCAAGGACGTATGCTCAGGGCTGTTCTGTGCATAGCTATTCAGTGCTGGGGCTGGGATTCGAACCCAAGCTTGACTCCCAACCCCATAATGACATCTCTGGATTCTGCCTTTCACATTCTATTTCATCCAATTTGAAAAACCCAGAGAATCACAGAGCAAGCAGGTCCTGGGGGAGAGTACCCCTCTGGTGGCCAAGATGAGATGAACGCCATCCCTTGGGGAACACTAGTAATTTAATTTTCTGGTTAGCTCAGCGATCACTAGAAGCCTTTATTTACCGATTGCTATTTTCTAAAGCAAGGCTCATAACAAGAACCGGCCACCCGGAAGGCTGCTCGGATATCCGGCACACTGAGGCCACCAGGACGCTGGCCTGGCCACCCCGGACCAGTCTCAGCACGCTCCCCTGAGGACGTGGGACCTGTGCTCTTTCCTGACTCTGCTACCTCCTGGGACTGAGGTTTCTCATCTGGAATGGAAAGGGATCAGCTAGGCAATCGCCAAACCCCGGGGGGTGGGGGCTGCGGGCTCCCGTCGGTCAGACCAGCGCCCAGTCTCACCTCTAACACGCCCCGTGTGTCGCACGCACGACGTCCGCCGAAGGCCTGCCCAGCTCGATGGCGCTCCCTCCTCACCGCACTCTGCGATGGAGATGCCTGATCCCCGGTCTGCAGGTACAGGAACTGAGGCTCTGGGAGCGTGCGCGAGAGGCTCCCGGGCACGCAGCCGGTAACGGGGAGCCAGGACCGAGCGGCTGCACCTGGATCGGGACTCTTGGGGAAGGGGCTGGTCTCTGCGGGGGTCCGGCCGCCGCCCCGCCACTTCAGCAAGGACCTGCGACTCGGGCCCGCCCTCCAGTTCGCCCCGCCGCCGTGACGTGGACCTCACTGGCCCGGCGCCCCGCGTCCCCTCCGGGCGCTGACCCCCAGCGCGCCTCACCTGGAGCCCCTCACCTCGCGACCTCGCCGCCGCCCTGGCCTCTCCGCCGCCGGCCCGAGCCCGGGAGGCCCCGGCAGCGAGGGCAGCCCCGCCAAGCTGTCCAGCTCTTCAGCAGCCGAGGGCTCGCAGGTGCCGCCGTGCGCCTACCGGGTGGCGAGCCCGGAGCGACATGTGCGCGTGCGCAGACAGGGAACTCTGCGCCAGCCTCGGCCAGCACCGCCCAGTTTCGCGGAATGCTGGGAGTTGTAGTTTACATCCGCGGGCACCCTGCCCGCTTCATCTGCGCAATCGGAGTAGTGTTTGTGTCCTGAGCCGCTTTTACTCGTTAGAATTACACAGCTGCTGCAGCCGCGCCGCCGCCTCTCAATGGGCAACCTGCTCGGCGGGGTCGGCCTCCGCGAGCCCACCACCGTGGAGGACTGCGACTCCACCTGGCAGACCGACTCGGAGCCGGAGCCCGAGCCGGAGGAGCGCGGCAGCCCCGCGCGGGACGCGGAGGCGGCGGGCGCCGGGCAGGACGGTGATTCCACTCAAGCAACTGCTAAACCAAGAAAAGTTTTTATGCTGCGAGAGATTTGTACAAATACCGACGCCAGTACCCACAAAGATATCCGATATCAAAATGACTTGAGCAATTTTCGTTTTTATGAGAATAAAATTCCATTTAAGCCAGATGGTGTTTACATTGACGAAGTTCTAAATAAATGGAAAGGAGATTACGGAAAGGGGGAGCACAGCCACACTTACATTCAATGCTGTTTCCCCTGAGAGAGCAAGGCTTGGACTTTTATGCTAAAGAACTAACTACATACGAAATCGAGGTGTTCAAAAAGACAAAAGAAGCAATTAAAAGATTCCTCCTGGCTTATAAAATGATGCTAGAGTTTTTTGGAATAAAATTGATTGATAAAACGGGTAATGTTCCTCGGGCTGTTAACTGGCAGGAAAGATTTCATTATGTGAATGTCTCGGCACAACTATCTTAGAATCACCCGTATTCTTAAAAGCCTCGGTGAGCTGGGATATGAAAGTTTTAAATCTCCTCTTGTAAAATTTATTCTTCACGAAGCCCTTGTGGAAAACTCCATTCCCAATATTAAGCAGAGTGCGCTGGAGTATTTTGTTTATAGCATCAGAGACAGGAGAGAGAGGAGAAGCTCCTGCGATTTGCCCAGCAACATCACAGGCCTTCTGAGAACTTTATCTAGGGGCCGCCGAGGAAAGAGCAGGCAGAGGCCGGCAAGGACCAGAAGGTGGCTGCCCCTCCCGGTTCCAGTCACAACGGTCGGACTTCTATGCACAAAAAAAGCCAAGGATGCTAGAAATTCCTCCACCGCTGTTCACCTAAATAGCAAAACAGCCGAAGAGAGGAAAGTGTTACCCAAAGAGCCCGGGGAAGAGACGGGGAAGCCCAGCCCGGAGCCCCGCAGTGACCCTGCAAAGCCCACAAACCCCGAGGACAGTGGGGCTAAAAGTGCAAGTTCGCAACTGGAAAAACAGCCGTCAACCCTGCAGAAAACACCAAGAGCTCATCACCTTCTGAAAAAGAGGAAGAGGGTGAAAATCATAGCAAAGACTACAGGAACAAGGCTGAGAGTGCCAGCTGCCACCATGAGGTTCCGTGACAGTGAAACCCCAGAAAGCCACAGCCCAGTTTAGGTTAAGAGGGAAAAGCTGCCTAAGACTTTATGTTAAAGAACAGCGACAAGGTCACATGTCAAATGTCAGCCCTCTGATTGTGATTTCCATTGTAAACATCTCGTCATTTTTTTATTTTGGATGACAGTCAGATACTTAAGTTTTAAAATGAGAGCCAATAAATGAATGTTTTAGGGGAAAAAAATTACACAGCTATGGGAGTTCTGGTAATAAATTTAAAAGCAAGTTCTGCTGATAAACCAAGTGCAGCAAAATAAGTAATATATGACTTGCTTTTATTTATTTAATGTTTTTAGTACTTATCTGTAGTACATAATGATTACATTCACCGTGGGGTTTTGTACATGTACATAACACATGTTAATTCTTTTTACTTCTTCCACTCTCCTCTTCCTCCCTCCCCCCCTACATCTCCTGGTCCCTTTTCTGTTTGGAAAAGATCTATCTCCCTGTTTCCTATCATCTGTCTTTTATTTTGCTCTTTAGTTTATATATACTTTCTCATATAAGAGAAATCATGCGATATTTAAGTTTATGTGTTTGGTTTATTTCACTTGCCATTACTCAAGGTGCATTATCCATTTTCCTACAAAGGACTGAAATTTGTCCTTCTTTATGGTGGAGTAGTACTCCATTGTGTATAAATACCACATTTTCTTTTTTTTCCTTTTTTTTTTGGTACCAGGGATTGAACTCGGGTCCTTACACTTGCACAGCAGACGGTGAAACCGCTGAGCCAAATCCCTGGCCCAATACCACATTTTCTTTATCCATTCATCTGCTAATGGACATACAGCCTGTTTCCAAGATTTAGCTATTGTGAACTGTGCTGCTATAAACATAGGTGTGCTTGTAGGTGACCTGCTTTTAAAACATGCAATGCCGGATGGGCTTAAATATGAACACCCCAGCCCTCTGCTGCTGGGATCCAGCCGCCTGCCTGTGCCCTAGCACATCTGGCTATCCCCTACTCCCAGTTCTTAGGGCTGTTGCTGTTGCTGCTGGAATTTAAGCAGAGCTTCAGAACACACATTTGCCTCCATTTCTTGATTCATGGGTTTTAAAACTCTTGACTTTTTGCTAGGATCCATGAGGATTTAAGTCATTTGGGGGTGCACTGACCAGGTCTGCCCTCACCCCCAAAGAATTGGAGATAACATTTCTGCCTCCCACCCCTGAAAAGTTATAATTATGTTAAGCTGATAATGCCCAAGTGCTGAGGCAGTATATTTATGCAGGGCAATTTGTCAATAGTCAAAAGTCTTTAAATACTTGGAGTTGAAAGCCTATAACCAATTTCTAGTAAGTGTGAATGAGCACAAAGGCAGACTTTTTTTTTATAGTGATAGAAAATTAGAAGGCTAATTTCAGATAAAGTTGAATCATGAGCAGGAAGGAATTACCCAGAATAAAAAAGAGGTAATGATAAAAGGTCAATTTACCTATAAAATTATAGGTAAACCTATATGTCAATTTACCCCATAACAGACCCTCAAAAGAAACCAATCAGTTACTGATAGAACTAAAAGTAGAAATAGATATGCAAGTATAGCTGAGACCCCAACACCTGTCTCTTCACAACGTATAGAACAACGAGGCAGAGGTCACTGAGGTCAGAGAAAAGCTCCACCAACACCAGCGCCAGTCTGTGGTCTAGTTGACATTGTCAGGACACCCCAGCCAACAACAGGACACATTCCTTTAAAGTACCCACAGGATGCATGTGTTAAGATAAACAGCATCCTGGGCTGTTAAGTTTTAGAATGAGCGAAGGACATGAACGGATATTTTATCCATGTGGATATGGAGATAGCAAATACACACATGAAAAGATGTTCAAGATTACACTAAGAGGAAATGCAAGTTCAGACCATGATGGAACATCGCCACACACCCCTTAGAACAGCTAAAAAGTTTTTATAAAGAGAACGTTCCGAAACCAAATCCTAATGGGCGTGAGGAAAATTGGATCTCTCATACATTGCTGGTGGGAATAGTTCAGTAATTTCTTTAAAAAATGAAACATACACTTATGACTCATCAGTTACAGCCCTGGGCATTTATCCCAGACAAATGGAAACTCCTGTTCTTATGAAATTGGTCATAACTTCTTTATTTGTAATTGCTCAAATCTGGAAATAAACAAAATGTTTGTCAATAGATGAGTGGATAAACAAATTATGATATGTTCAATACCATAGAATACTGCTTGGCAATAAAAAGTAGCAAACAGTTGATATATACAATCATGCTAGGTGAAAAAGGTCTCAAAAGATTATGTGCTCCATGGTTCTCTTTGTGTAACTTCGTTCTCGAGGCTGGAAGTTTAAGGTCAAGGAGTCAGCAGCCTTGGTGTGTTCTGTGCCCTTGCTCCGTGGCTCATAGGTGGCATCCTGGCAAGGCTCTTCTGCACTTGTGCATGTGCTGTTGTCTCCTGCTGTCCTTGTGAAGGCACCAGTCATGGTCACGTTGGATTCGGGCTTAACCTGAACACGAGCCTGAGCTCCTCCTTTTAACTCAGTCACCACGTAAAGGCTCGGCCCAGCGTGTCGTCACTTGGAGGTGGTGGAGGTTACCTGTGCATTTGGGGGGACGTGGTTCAGTCCACAGCAAGCTGGCTGCAGTTCCTCCAGGTCCTGACCACCAACAGCCACCCAAGCGATGTGCCCTCAGTGGGGTCCAGCCCCTGCCTCCAAGCCATGCTGCTGCCTGAGACACCACAAGGCCGAGAGGAGCAGTTCCCGTGTGCCTGCCTAATTGTCTGACCCGTAGAAACGGAGCGAATAAAGTAGTCCTGGAAACTTCCAGCCACTAGGTTTCAGAACAAGGTCGTGTAGCTGGGCCTTGTAGAAGTCACTCATTCTGTCTCCCCACAGCCCCTTGTGTTGATCCCTCCCGTCCCTGTTCCCGATGAGGACACTGAGACCAGGAGTCAGTTCCACCCTCGCCCGCTACCACGTGGCTAGCAAATGGGGCCCAGCGGGGTGGGCCCTGCACCCACTCTGCAGCCACATCTCCCTTCTGGTGCCCCTGGCCCAGCCTCACCCAAACACCTATTCCAAGCCAGCAGGGTCTGCTCTCCTCCCCCGCCCTGGTTGCTCCTACTGTTCTGGTCCAAGGGGGCCTGGGTGTGTATTCTTGTAACTTGTTACAGCTCACCTAGGTGTCAAGCCCATGCATCTATCTG